CGTGGAAGTAGGGCTCAGAATTAATAATATATTGCCACTTGGCAACTAATGATTGCTGAGGGGACGTGTCAGCCTAGTTAACCACCCTACTGAACCTCCCGACATAAAGACAAGTCAGCATTTAATTCCCCCCCATGTGTGCATTAAATGTCTGACAGTTAACGATTGAAAAAACCTCAAATCGCATTAAATATATGTCAGAGCTGCGTCGACCTGTCCCTCAGCGCTGCGCCGACCTGTCCCTCAGCGCTACTGAGCGATGGGACAGGATGAACAATGCCGAATTTAAGGATATTCTAAATATAAGACCCATTTCATTTATTAGGGTTGTTGAATCTGCCACCAACATTCTCTCTCTCTCTCTCTCTCTACAATTACTCCTCTATGTAATAAATGTCTGCAAGTAATTCCGAGCGTAACAAAGACCTCGATATTAGAGGCCGAGCTCATAATTAATAGTAAATAATCCATTTTCTGCGTATTTCACTCTTAATCCTTATTTTTCCTACACTAAATCTTTATTTGACTGTTGATCGGACCCGTCCATCAACAATAACTTTACAGTTTTGTTGTAAATTGTTTTATTATGTTGTGTGTCACCATAATATATTAGTTTAATATGTAATTTACTGGTAACTTTCCATAATAACCAGTACTAATAATTTTATAAATAACTAGTCACAAAGATATAGATATTTAATTTTATATAGAGAGAACCGATCAACATATATATATATATATATATATATATATATATATATAGAGAGAGAGAGAGAGAGAGAGAGAAGGGATCATATGAGAAAGAGTAATAGTGAAAGAAATAAGAATGAATCATAGACATTGGATGCGATATATCAACGATCTACATGCGGTCAAAGGGTCTAGCTTTAGTTAAACACGCGGTGGCATTTCAGTAAATAAGTGAAATTTTGATTTTCACGCAGGGGTATTTTAGTCATTTGTGGAAAATGCACTGTTGCGATAAAGTGCAATATCACATGCACTAAAGTGCAGTTTGTATAACCATATGGTTCAGTCTGTTTAAAGTGCAGTTTGTATAACCATATGGTGCAGTCGATTTAAAGTGCAGTTTGTAATCATACGGTGCAGTATGTTTAGTGCTATTTTTAATGTGCAATTCCGAACGCGACAAAGTGCAAAGCGATGTACGTTAAAGTGCAAATGGTTAAAGTTTTATTAAATTACATATTTAACCCATGAACTAAATTATAATATAATTAAAATTTATAAAAGTTCAATTAGGTCCCTCAAACTTATTTAATTTTCCAAAATATCAATCCCAAATCAATTGCATGCAGTTTCACAGAGGAGAATACGGCGTCGATGCTGTACGGCCGGTTGCAACGCCGAGACAATACTCAACCTATCTAATTTTGACAGAGGCGGATATGCTATACAGCCGATCGCAGCGAGCGATTGATTAGGGTTCCGAGGCGATTTGCGGCGATGAACACGATGAAGCCTGTTTGATTCAGTGAGATAGGAGTGGTGGCCGATGAAGACGATTGACCCATCTTCGATCGTCGGGCTCTCAGCGCAAGTCAATTTCGGGCGGCGGAGTGGACGGCGGCGAAGAAGCGAGCAGCAAAGAAGCAGGTGACAAAGGTCTATTTCTCATTTCAGTGTTGTTCTCTCCAGCTTGTAGAGGCGTTGTTATTTGATATTGCGATTGTGGAGGGAA